GAGTACACAGCAGACTTTGATACTGCTGCTAGGAGGGTACACAGCAGACTTTGACACTGCTGCTAGGAGGGTACACAGCAGACTTTGACACTGCTGCTAGGAGGGTACACAGCAGACTCTGACACTGCTGCTAGGAGGGTACACAGCAGACTTTGATACTGCTGCTAGGAGGGTACACAGCAGACTTTGACACTGCTGCTAGGAGGGTACACAGCAGACTTTGATACTGCTGCTAGGAGGGTACACAGCAGACTTTGATACTGCTGCTAGGAGGGTACACAGCAGACTTTGATACTGCTGCTAGGAGGGTACACAGCAGACTTTGACACTGCTGCTAGGAGGGTACACAGCAGACTTTGACACTGCTGCTTGGAGGGTACAACACAGACTTTGACACTGCTGCTAGGAGGGTACACAGCAGACTTTGATACTGCTGCTAGGAGGGTACACAGCAGACTTTGACACTGCTGCTAGGAGGGTACACAGCAGACTTTGATACTGCTGCTAGGAGGGTACACAGCAGACTTTGATACTGCTGCTAGGAGGGTACACAGCAGACTTTGACACTGCTGCTAGGAGGGTACACAGCAGACTTTGATACTGCTGCTAGGAGGGTACACAGCAGACTTTGATACTGCTGCTAGGAGGGTACACAGCAGACTTTGACACTGCTGCTAGGAGGGTACACAGCAGACTTTGATACTGCTGCTAGGAGGGTACACAGCAGACTTTGACACTGCTGCTAGTAGGGTATACAGCAGACTTTGATACTGCTGCTAGGAGGGTACACAGCAGACTTTGACACTGCTGCTAGGAGGGTACACAGCAGACATTGATACTGCTGCTAGGAGGGTACACAGCAGACTTTGACACTGCTGCTAGGAGGGTACACAGCAGACTTTGACACTGCTGCTAGGAGGGTACACAGCAGACTTTGATACTGCTGCTAGGAGGGTACACAGCAGACTTTGACACTGCTGCTAGGAGGGTACACAGCAGACTTTGACACTGCTGCTAGAGGGTACACAGCAGACTTTGACACTGCTGCTAGGAGGGTACACAGCAGACTTTGACACTGCTGCTAGGAGGGTACACAGCAGACTTTGACACTGCTGCTAGGAGGGTACACAGCAAACTTTGATACTGCTGCTAGGAGGGTACACAGCAGACTTTGATACTGCTGCTAGGAGGGTACACAGCAGACTTTGACACTGCTGCTAGGAGGGTACACAGCAGACTTTGACACTGCTGCTAGGAGGGTACACAGCAGACTTTGACACTGCTGCTAGGAGGGTACACAGCAGACTTTGACACTGCTGCTAGGAGGGTACATAGCAGACTTTGACACTGCTGCCAGGAGGGTACATAGCAGACTTTGACACTGCTGCTAGGAGGGTACACAGCAGACTTTGACACTGCTGCTAGGAGGGTACACAGCAGACTTTGACACTGCTGCTAGGAGGGTACATAGCAGACTTTGACACTGCTGCTAGGAGGGTACACAGCAAACTTTGACACTGCTGCTAGGAGGGTACACAGCAGATTTTTGACACTGCTGCCAGGAGGGTACATAGCAGACTTTGACACTGCTGCTAGGAGGGTACATAGCAGACTTTGACACTGCTGCTAGGAGGGTACACAGCAGACTTTGACACTGCTGCTAGGAGGGTACACAGCAGACTTTGACACTGCTGCCAGGAGGGTACATAGCAGACTTTGACACTGCTGCTAGGAGGGTATACAGCAGACTTTGACACTGCTGCTAGGAGGGTACACAGCAGACTTTATTGTTGCAAGGTTTCACCTACTCTGGAGGCTTCTGCAGTCGAATACAAAGGTGACTAAATATTGGAGACAGCAGAAGCAGTGGAAGGGTAAATATGAGGTGGTCAATCCCTCAGCCTTGACGTAGCTTCGAGGTGGTCAGTCCCTCAGCCTTGACGTAGCTTCGAGGTGGTCAGTCCCTCAGCCTTGACGTAGCTTCGAGATGGTCAGTTCCTCAGCCTTGACGTAGCTTCGAGATGGTCAGTTCCTCAGCCTTGACGTAGCTTCGAGGTGGTCAGTCCCTCAGCCTTGACGTAGCTTCGAGGTGGTCAGTCCCTCGGCATTAAAATATGTTCAGCTCTATAGTCTCGATGAGGGTGAGACTATGAAGCTGGGCACTTCCATAAGGTGAGGGACTGACCACCTCAAATCTTCTTCTTCAAGGACTGACAACCTCAAATGTTTTTCAAGGCGAGTACTTACCAAAGATGTCATTGCCTCTGGGAGGGTAGCCAGCCATGGCCATGGTATGGGAATGGTCAGCTGTGACCACCACCAGCGTGTCCTCCAGGTCAACCTCCTGCAGCGCCGCCTCCACTGCCTCCTCCATCTGCAACAGCTCCTCCAGGCCTCGCCGGGGCTTGTTGTCGTGCAAACCTTTGTCTAATAAGTCGTTCTCCACCTGTGGTAGAAAGAGCTCTTAGGTACATCTTCACTCTCTTACTCAAAACACTCTGTTTCACTCTCCGTAAACCTCATACACTAACTGCCTCACACTTCCTTACCTCACTCACCTCACACATTACTCTCAGTCATCTTCACACCTCACCACCACTCTTGCTCTTCTTTACTCGTGATTTCAGCTGTTAGTGACTCCTTATATCAAACAAGTATATCTAAGCAATCTAAGACAGCTTGTGTTCCAGCTGTGAGTGTGAAACACTGACCAGGAGGAAGAATCCCCGAGAGCTCTTCTTTAGGATACGGATGGCCGCCAGGGTCTTCTCCTTCAGGCTGGGCGTCCCGTCTAGGCCATGATCACGATCCACTTCGTAGGGCACAGAGATATCTCCGAACAGTCCTGTAACATGAGAACAGAGTGAGGGACAGTTTGAGGCTGAGAAGAAAGTGAGACTGAGTGAGAGAGAAGATGTGCATGGTTAATTTAACAACAGTGTGAACACACGGAACACATCTGTTATGACAATATTAATGCTGTTTTACGTACTCCTGTTAGGAGTCGTAACCGAATCGTGTCCAATTTTCTTGGTATCCCAGCTAGTTGATGTTCCACCACCCGCCTAAAGCGCCACCTGCATAATGGTCCACCTGTTTACTTTTCCACCCGTTTAATATTCTAATGAACTGTCCTGGAGTCAACGGTCCGGAGCTACAATACACTTCCCTGGAAGTGCAGGTAATCCCAGCGAATTTAGTGCTGACGACGACACTCACCCATAAGGTAGTCGAGGTTGTCCAGCTGGAGGCCTCGCAGCTGCCGTGTGGAGGTGACGTAGGCGAAGCTGGCACCTCGCTTCTTCTTGTCCTTCTTCCACGCCTCCACCAGGTTCCTGCTGTCCGATCTCGGGCACTTGATCTTCTTTCCTCCATGAGGTGCGCCCATCTCCTGCCGTCCGCCTCCCAGGATTACCTGAAGGAGGACCAGCAGTTTAGATGTACAGTTTGTGAATTAGACACTTGTTCAACACTAATATGGAAACGTTTCTCCAACCAGTGGCTTCCTCAGTCCAATACAGAGAAGAAATGTTGAAGATCAGAAGGAGTTTTAGGTAATCAGTCCATCAATCTTGATAAGAGTCTTGATAAGAGTCTTATCAAGATTAATGGCCCGATCACATCGTCTCCAGCTGGCCTTCCCAAGAGGCCAAAAATCAATAATGCCAATCAAACTGGTCTAGGAGGCGGGGCCCGGAGCTGAGTCTTGACCTCGCAAACATAACTCAGTGATTATAACTCGGCGAGTACATATACACAGTCTCTCTCTTTCTTTCTCTCTCTCTCTCTCTCTCTCTCTCTCTCTCTCTCTCTCTCTCTCTCTCTCTCTCTCTCTCTCTCTCTCTCTCTCTCTCTCTCTCTCTCTCTCTCTCTCTCTCTCTCTCTCTCTCTCTCTCTCTCTCTCACGATAAAGCCCATGGAGCAGGGAGAGAGTGGATCTAGTAGCGACCAGTGAAGAGGCGGGGCCAGAAGCTGTGATTCGACCCCTGCAACCACAAATAGGTGAGTACAATTAGGTGAGTACACACACACACACACACGCACACACCTTCATATTCTTGCCTGGTTCATCCTCCACCAGCTGTCTGGCGATATCCTTGCAGTGTGTAGCATTATCCTGGATCATCCTGGTGTCACACTGCCACTCCCTGAAGGCGGACTTAGCGTACAGTGCTGCAGGTGTGGCGTGGGTCACCTGTGATGTCGTCACCATACCTGTACACATAACATTCATCTCAGTAGTGGTCCTTCACATTGATGAATAGCTCCTTATCCAAGGAATTCATCATGGTAAGACACATTCACAGTGATACAGGACACTTTATCGAAGGTACAGAAGCTATTAATCCTCTTCCTTGGGATCGATCCCGGTTATCTCCCATTCTCCAGCCTCTGAATGGCCCCTATGCATTTAGTGTTTCCCGTCGAAATTTACTTATTACTCCAGCGTTTGATGAGGTAGACAATGGCAAAACTCATCTACTGGAAGAAAAGGCCACTGGTAGTTGAGAGGCCTTTTAATACAGCGTTCCGTCCACTAGTGAGATTTATTTAGTATACAAGAATGAACACTTACACGGCCTTACCAGTGATGAACATTTTTTAGAAGAACAATAACACACTGAGGAAGTGTTCACCAACCTGTTCACCCAACACACGTTATCATATCTCAGGTTATCCTGGGTAGTGTACACTGTGGATGATATCCTGGGTAGTGTACACTGTGGATGATAACACAAAAAAACGAGAACAAGCGATGGAGGATGCAAAACAAGCACGGGGTGAGTTGAAAGATAGCTCTAGGCCTTTCCTGTTGCAATCAATACATCATCAGGAGCTTGCAATGTTGCAGGAAAGAGGATAAAATCCCAGCAAAAATGTTCAGAGTAAGAGTCTTTGCTAGCTAAACCCGTACGGATATAAAGAGCTCCTATGCTAGTTAACAGACATATTTTTAAGATATAATTCTGTAATTTATAATCGTATTTTCGATGGAATTATCACGATTTTTTTATCTATTCACTATTTTTTTTTTTGCACCGTAAGATTTTACGGAATAATTTTTTTAAAAATTAAGAAATGAAAATATATATTTATTCTCTACGATATTTTTTTATTTTATAATTATTATCCTGTGATCTTGTTAGTGTACTGCCACCCACCTGTGATCTTGTTAGTGTACTGCCACCCACCTGTGAACTTGTTAGTGTACTGCCACCCACCTGTGATCTTGTTAGTGTACTGCCACCCACCTGTGATCTTGTTAGTGTACTGCCACCCACCTGTGATCTTGTTAGTGTACTGCCACCCACCTGTGATCTTGTTAGTGTACTGCCACCCACCTGTGATCTTGTTAGTGTACTGCCACCCACCTGTGACTTGTTAGTGTACTGCCACCCACCTGTGATCTTGTTAGTGTACTGCCACCCACCTGTGATCTTGTTAGTGTACTGCCACCCACCTGTGATCTTGTTAGTGTACTGCCACCCACCTGTGATCTTGTTAGTGTACTGCCACCCACCTGTGATCTTGTTAGTGTACTGCCACCCACCTGTGATCTTGTTAGTGTACTGCCACCCACCTGTGATCTTGTTAGTGTACTGCCACCCACCTGTGAATCTTGTTAGTGTACTGCCACCCACCTGTGATCTTTTTTAGTGTACTGCCACCCACCTGTGATCTTGTTAGTGTACTGCCACCCACCTGTGATCTTGTTAGTGTACTGCCACCCACCTGTGATCTTGTTAGTGTATGCCACCCACCTGTGATCTTGTTAGTGTACTGCCACCCACCTGTGATCTTGTTAGTGTACTGCCACCCACCTGTGATCTGTTAGTGTACTGCCACCCACCTGTGATCTTGTTAGTGTACTGCCATCACCTGTGATCTTGTTAGTGTACTGCCACCCCCCTGTGATCTTGTTAGTGTACTGCCACCCACCTGTGATCTTGTTAGTGTACTGCCACCCACCTGTGATCTTGTTAGTGTACTGCCACCACCTGTGATCTTGTTAGTGTACTGCCACCCACCTGTGATCTTGTTAGTGTACTGCCACCCACCTGTGATCTTGTTAGTGTACTGCCACCCACCTGTGATCTTTTTTAGTGTACTGCCACCCACCTGTGATCTTGTTAGTGTACTGCCACCCACCTGTGATCTTGTTAGTGTACTGCCACCCACCTGTGATCTTGTTAGTGTACTGCCACCCACCTGTGATCTTGTTAGTGTACTGCCACCCACCTGTGATCTTGTTAGTGTACTGCCACCCACCTGTGATCTTGTTAGTGTACTGCCACCCACCTGTGTCTTGTTAGTGTACTGCCACCCACCTGTGATCTTGTTAGTGTACTGCCACCACCTGTGATCTTGTTAGTGTACTGCCCCCCAAACCGTGATCTTGTTAGTGTACTGCCACCCACCTGTGATCTTTTTTAGTGTACTGCCACCCACCTGTGATCTTGTTAGTGTACTGCCACCCACCTGTGATTTGTTAGTGTACTGCCACCCACCTGTGATCTTGTTAGTGTACTGCCACCCACCTGTGATCTTGTTAGTGTACTGCCACCCACCTGTGATCTTGTTAGTGTACTGCCCCCCACCTGTGATCTTGTTAGTGTACTGCCACCCACCTGTGATCTTGTTAGTGTACTGCCACCCACCTGTGATCTTGTTGTGTACTGCCACCCACCTGTGATCTTGTTAGTGTACTGCACCCACCTGTGATCTTGTTAGTGTAGCCACACTTGATCTTGTTAGTTACTGCCACCCACCTGTGATCTTGTTAGTGTACTGCCACCCACCTGTGATCTTGTTAGTGTACTGCCACCCACCTGTGATCTTGTTAGTGTACTGCCACCCACCTGTGATCTTGTTAGTGTACTGCCACCCACCTGTGACCTTGTTAGTGTACTGCCACCCATCTGTAACCTTACCAGCATCCTGCCACCCATCTGTGTCCTTCCACCCACCTGTAACCTTGCCAGCATCCTACCACCCACCTGTGTACTTGCCAGCATCCTACCACCCACCTGTGTCCTTGCCAGCATCCTACCACCAACCTGTGTCCTTGCCAGCATCCTACCACCCACCTGTGTCCTTGCCAGCATCCTACCACCCACCTGTGTCCTTGCCAGCATCCTACCACCAACCTGTGTCCTTGCCTGCATCCTACCATCCACCTGTGTCCTTGCCAGCATCCTACCACCCACCTGTGTCCTTGCCAGCATCCTACCACCCACCTTTGTCCTTGCCAGCCTCCTATCACCCACCTGTGACCTTGCCAGCATCCTGCCACACACCTGTGTCCTTGCCAGCATCCTACCACCCACCTGTGTCCTTGCCAGCATCCTGTGCCCAGTTAAGGATGGTGTCCAGTCTGTTCTCCGGGATGAGAGAAGCATCACAGTCCTTCACCTTTACTCTACCGTTAACTCCCAGAGTTTCATAGTTAGCCTTGACACCTGTCAGGTAGGCAGTGGCAGTATTGGCACTGTCTGGCACTTGCTTGTCCAAGGCATATGTCTGTAGGGACACATAAGAACCAGTCACAATACAACAACAATACTGTCTGGAACAATTCACATCCCAGAATACCCTGGCTGGAACAATTCACATCCTACAATACCCTGGCTGGAACAATTCATATCCCACAATACCCTGGTTGGAACAATTCACATCCCATAACACCCTGGCTGGAACAATTCACATCCCACAACACCCTGGCTGGAACAATTCACATCCCATAACACCCTGGCTGGAACAATTCACATCCCACAACACCCTGGCTGGAACAATTCACTAATCCAAAGCTCAGATATGGATACCTGTGCTATATTTCTCTCTAAACTAATACCATTACCTGTCTAGAATGACCTGAAAACTTTTCCCAGGTACCATTCCCTTCCGGGTCATTAGGGAGCTCACCTGTCAGGTCGAAGGTCGACACCGGCATTCACCTTCACACTCTGTGGTTACGCTTCTCTTATTACTCTTTTGCGATTACAAATAATGATTATAATAAAATAATAATAATAATAATAATAATAATAATAATAATAATAATAATAATAATAATAATAATAATAATAATAATAATAATTATTATTATTATTATTATTATTATTAATATTCCTTGATGGTAGCGACAGTTTCTTGGTTACAGGATATGAAGCTTTCCTCTTCTTCCTAAGATCAAACCTCCTCTGATCACTATATAACCCCAAATGGGTTTAGAAGAGAGAGAGAGAGAGAGAGAGAGAGAGAGAGAGAGAGAGAGAGAGAGAGAGAGAGAGAGAGAGAGAGAGAGAGAGAGAGAGATAGAAGAGAGAGAGAGAGAGAGAGAGAGAAGAGAGAGAGAGAGAGAGAGAGAGAGAGAGAGAGAGAGAGAGAGAGAGAGAGAGAGAGATACTATACCTTCAGAAGGGCCATGTTAGGGAATCTCTCCCAGACAAGGTAACCTTCCTCTCCAGACACTCCCATCTTCTGCCCCTTCAGGATGCGTCCTGCCGTCGACACCGTCACTCCCATACCTGTAGGAGAGTGACCATCATGACCCTGACTCAGGTGAGGTGGCCACCTGGGTGAGGTGGCCACCTAGATGAGGTAACCACGTAGGTGAGGTAACCACTTAGGTGAGGTAACCACCTATCACAGGTACGCTAATCGACTTCCTATATATATATATATATATATATATATATATATGTCGTGCCGAATATGTAAAACTGGTCAATTAGCAAGAACTCATTTAAAATTAAGTCCTTTCTAAAATTTTCTCTTATACGTTTAAAGATATATTTTTTTCATTAATGTTGATGTAAAAAATTATAATTTTGCACCAAAAGGAACTTAGAAAACTTACCTAACCTTATTATAACAAGAACAATTTATTTTAGCCTAACCCAACTAAATATATTTTAGATTTGTTTACAATAATTTAATACTAAACAAACACAGTGAAAAATATTTTTTTCGTTAGGTTCAGAATTATTTTGGCGAAATTATCGCATACACAAATTTTCACTTGTCCTATATGGCAAGATGAGCGTTGCTATTTAAGCCAAGATCGCAAGTTCTGCCTATTCGGCACGACATATATATATATATATATATATATATTATATATATATATATATATATATATATATGTATATATAATAATATATATATTATATATATATATATATATATATATATATATATTATATATATATATATATATATATATATATATATATATATATATATATATATATATATTTAACAAGTCGGCCGTCTCCCACCGAGGAAGGGTGACCCAAAAAGAAAGAAAATCTCCAAAAAGAAAATACTTTCATCATCATTCAACACATTCACCACACTCACACATTATTACTGTTTTTGCAGAGGTGCTCAGAATACAACAGTTTAGAAGCATATACGTATAAAGATACACAACATATCCCTCCAAACTGCCAATATCCCAAACCCCTCCTTTAAAGTGCAGGCATTGTACTTCCCATTTCCAGGACTCATGTCCGGCTATATAAAAATAACCGGTTTTCCTGAATCCCTTCACTAAATATTACCCTGCTCACACTCCAACAGCTCGTCAGGTCCCAAATACCATTCGTCTCCGTTCACTCCTATCTAACACGCTCATGCACGCCTGCTGGAAGTCCAAGCCCCTCGCCCACAACACCTCCTTTACCCCCCCTCCAACCTTTTCGAGGACGACCCCTACCCCGCCTTCCTTCCCCTATAGATTTATATGCTTTCCATGTCATTCTACTCTGATCCATTCTCTCTAAATGACCAAACCACCTCAACAACCCCTCTTCTGCCCTCTGACTAACACTTTTATTAACTCCACACCTTCTCCTAATTTCCACACTCCGAATTTTCTGCATAATATTTACACCACACATTGCCCTTAAACAGGACATCTCCGCTGCCTCCAACCGTCTCCTCGCTGCTGCATTTACCACCCAAGCTTCACACCCATATAAGAGTGTTGGTACTACTATACTTTCATACATTCCCTTCTTTGCCTCCATAGATAACGTTTTTTGACTCCACATATACCTCAACGCACCACTCACCTTTTTTCCCTCATCAATTCTATGATTAACCTCATCCTTCATAAATCCATCCAGCAGGTGTCACCAGCAGGTGACACCTGCTGGTGACACCTGCTGGTGACACCTGCTGGTGACACCTGCTGGTGACACCTACTTACCAATAACTGCACAACATAAGTGCAAAGTCCCATCTGTATTAATAAAAATAATAATAATAATAGTAATAATAATAATAATAATAAAGTAGTATTAATAATGCTAATAACAACAACAACAACAACGACAACAATAATGATAATAATAATAATAATAATACTAATAATAATAATAATAATAATAATAATAATAAATAATAATAATAATAATAAATAATAATAATAATAATAATAATAATAATAATAATAATAATGATAATAATAATAATAATAATAATAATAATAAAAATAATAATAATTATAATAATAATAATAATAATAATAATAATAATAATATAATAATAATTAATAATAATTATAATAATAATAAAAAATAATAATTAATAATAATAATAATTATGATAACAATAATAAAATAATAATAATAATAATAATAATAATAATAATAATAATAATAATAATAATAATAATAATAATAATAATAATAATAATAATAATAATAATAATAATGATTCACTTCAGACAAGGTGATCACTAATACTCACCGTCACCAAGAAAGAAAAGAACATTCTTGGCCTTTCCAATATTCGTAGGTCTGTCCCTGGCTTCTCGGAGCTCCCGTCGCATCAGCTGGTACCAGTACGACTTATCTGCAGTGGTAAGAGTAAACTAACCAGTGGAACGTTGCACAGTGCAACACCTACCGCCTCCCACCTGTACGAAGTCCCCTGTGTAAGACAGAGTGGCCACTTAGTCTAATGGAAAGTGGACTACTAGTCCAGGCTGTGTAAAAATGTCAGGGGGTGACAGGCTTGTCGGACTTAGAATGATCTTAACCAGATTGTCCCACTTGTCTAGATTAAGTAGTGTGACACATTATCTAAGGATAAGTAGAATAAAAAGCCTGGTCCAAGAGCTAGAATAAAATATCCGCTTATATGGTCCACACTAACTCGTGTACTATATATAAGGAAGCGCATTAATAGCACAATGATTTAGCAGAACGTTTCCCTTGGTTTGGATGACTTTCGCTCACCCCGGAGCGAAAAGTGCAAATAAAATCGTGTTCATATAATCTATTGACATTTTCTTGCCTCTCAGATCATGGGTATATATATTTTCTTCTGAAATTTAATGCTATACCATGTGTCAGAAACAAGGGACGCACCTGGTTAAGATAATCAAAGTTATCTTGCTACCTAAGATAGCTAGAAAGTGGCTACTGTATGCGATAACTCTTATAAGTGCTTATCTACGATTACGATCTTACTATCTCTGGGATATCCAGAAATATTTTTCTCAGATATCATCAGTGAAATATATCACCTATATTATCAGGACATTTAACGCAAGATAGACACAGAATAAGATAGACAGATAGATAGGGTTCACTCTGTGATAGCTGCCAGTTATGTATCAGTTTAAAAGATAACGAGGGGCATCCTAAGATTAGCTAACTTATATCAAACGGTGTTATCTTTCCGTGATAGCTAACCGGTGGGAGAAGAGTAATTTAAGATAGAGTGACTCACCCGTTTCTTGAGGATGAGGTGAGGGGAAGATGACAGCTGAGGAGAGATGTAGCATCACCAGCATCACCAGTCCCGTGCACCACACACACCTCGGCATCTTCATTCTTTTGATAAGGCAGCCAAGATCTTGCTCCAGTCTTGCTCTTCACTGCAGTAGCAGGATACTTCTCGTCTCACTTTCCGTGTCACCCGTTGTCAAGGTTAGGTTAGGTAAGGTTCGTCAGGAAACAGCACAAGTGTTTCCTGACTCGGGTCTTATGTAATGACAAGGATTTACGATCTTGTTCCTACCTGTCTCTACTCACGGTGATAGGATTCTCCTCCTAATGTCTCAGACTATTCCTCTCCTTTCAATTCATGATAATAGGATCTCTATCCTCCTCCTCCTCCTCCTCCCGGAGAAACAGGATTCGTCTCCTTCTCTTCAGGCAAGGAATATCACCCGTGAATATTAAGTAAGGTGATAATTGCTGCAGTCTGGAAACGCTTTAAGAAAGGTAAATCTGTTAGCTCAGGCGTAATCGTTGTTTCCCATAAGTAACTATGTTTTCCTGTCTATCTTTTCCTTTTCACTCTTGTTGACAATACGACGTGCGGATCAAGTAATCCTCTTTTTGTTTAGGGACTGACTGACAGCATACGTTCACAGGACACAACAATCAAGAGAACTTCCAAAGGACCTCCTCTCAGCTATTATCGAAAAGACTGCACTCCAGAGGACCTCCTCACAGCTACTAAAGACAAGATTTACCTCTCTACAGGATTTCTTCACAGCCACTGACGTAGGGAAAAAAAAAACAAAAAGTTGACGATGCGCAACATGCACAGAATATAATCCTATGTAATGAACATAGAAAGCTGTAAATGCAGCATTGCACCACAGGTGGGCTGTTTCCCGCAAGATCACAGGGCAGCAAGATTTAACACAGCATTCTTCACCGCCACCAAGTATACCAAGACAATATTTAACAACCAAGTGTCAGTATACAGTATAAGGTGCTCACATGTCCTAAAGAATTCCATTGGTTACGTTGAACACGGATCCTGAACAGTGCCTCTCTTCATGCTGCCCAGGTGTTCTAATCTGGGTCATTGTTTATGTTGCGCTCGTACAACAGGTGAGGTTGTCTGAAGGGAGATTAAAACCTATCGACTACACTAAGGTCATATACGTCCACAGTTATTAGTAACTTTCAAGGTCTGCCTGAAATAATCTACATAACCAAGGACCTTTCTATAACGTATGTCAGTAAGTCAACTAACTGTCCTTTCCTGAGGCGTTGGAGAGCATTGTGTTGGCGATTTTTTCCATGATCGGTTTGTCCCAGTGGGACTGTTTTATATATATATATATATATATATATATATATATATATATATATATATATATATATATATATATATATATACATATATTATATATATATATATATATATATATATATATATATATATATATATATATATATATATATATATATATATATATATATATATATATATATATATATATATATATATATATATATATATATATATATATATATATATATATTATATTGTCGTGCCGAATATGTAAAACTGGTCAATTAGCAAGAACTCATTTAAAATTAAGTCCTTTCTAAAATTTTCTTTTATACGTTTAAAGATATATTTTTTTCATTAATGTTAATGTAAAAAATTTTAATTTTGCACCAATAGAATCTTAGAAAACTTACCTAACCTTATTATAACAAGAACAATTAATTTTAGCCTAACCCAACTAAATATATTTTAGAATTGTTTTCAGTAATTTAATACTAAACAAACACAGTGAAATATATATTTTTTGTTAGGTTCAGAATGATTTTGGCGAAATTATTGCATACACAATATGGCAAGATGAGTGTTGCTATTTAAGCCAAGATCGCAAGTTCTGCCTATTCGGCACGACACACACAGACACACACACACAGACATACACACACACACACACACACACACACACACACACACACACACACACACACACACACACAAGAAACGACCGAGAGGTATGTCAGGAGCTCAACACAAGATTTAAAGAGGTATTTACAGTGGAAACCAGTAGGACTCCAAGAAATCAGAACAGGGGGGCACACCAGCAAGTGCTGGATGAGGTACATATAACCAAGGAGGAGGTGAAGAAGCTGCTATGCGAACTTGACACCTCAAAGGCGGTGGGACCAGACAACATCTCTCCATGGGTCCTTAAAGAGGGAGCAGAGATATTGTGTGAGCCATTAACAAAGATCTTCAACACATCATTTGAAACTGGGCAACTCGCTGAGGTATGGAAAATGGCAAATGTAGTCCCAATTTTTAAAAAGGGAGACAGACATGAGGCACTAAACTACAGACCTGTATCTCTAACGTGTATAGTATGCAAGGTCATGGAGAAGATCATCAGGAGGAGAGTGGTGGGGCACCTGGAAAGAAACAAGTGTATAATTGACAACCAGCACGGTTTCAGGGAAGGAAAATCCTGTGTCACAAACCTACTAGAGTTTTATGACAAGGTGACAGAAGTAAGACAAGAGAGAGAGAGAGGGGTGGATCGACTGCGTATTTTTGGACTGCAAGAAGGCTTTCGACACAGTTCCTCACAAGAGGTTACTGCAAAAGCTAGAGGATCAGGCACACATAACCGGAAAGGCACTGCAATGGATCAGAGAATATCTGACAGGGAGGAAACAACGAGTCATGGTACGCGACGAGGTGTCAGAGTGGGCGCCTGTGACAAGCGGGGTTCCACAGGGGTCAGTCCTAGGACCTGTGCTGTTCTTGGTATACGTGAACGACATAACGGAAGGGATAGACTCAGAAGTGTCCTTGTTTGCAGACGATGTGAAGTTAATGAGAAGAATCAAAATCGGACGAGGATCAGGCAGTACTACAAAGAGATCTGGACAGGCTACAAGCCTGGTCCAGCAACTGGCTCCTTGAATTTAACCCTGCCAAATGCAAAGTCATGAAGATTGGGGAAGGGCAAAGAAGACCGCAGACACAATAAGTTTAGATGGCCAAAGACTGCAAACCTCACTCAAGGAAAAAGATCTGGGGGTGAGTATAACACCGAGCATATCTCCTGAGGCGCACATCAATCAGATAACTGCTGCAGCATACGGGCGCCTGGCAAACCTACGGATAGCGTTCCGATACTCAGTAAGGATTCGTTTAAGACTCTGTACACCATCTACGTCAGGCCCATACTGGAGTATGCAGCACCAGTTTGGAATCCACACCTAGTCAAGCACGTCAAGAAATTAGAGAAAGTGCAAAGGTTTGCAACAAGACTAGTCCCAGAGCTACGGGGATTGTCCTATGAAGAAAGGTTGAGGGAAATCGGCCTGACGACATGGAGGCCAGGAGGGTCAGGGGGAGACATGATAACGACATATAAAATACTGCGCGGAATAGACGAGGTGGACAAAGACGGGATGTTCCAGAGATGGGACACAGACACAAGAGGTCACAATTGGAAGTTGAAGACTCAGATGAATCAAAGGGATGTTAGGAAGTATTTCTTCAGTCATAGAGTAGTCAGGCCATGGAATAGCCTAGAAAGTGATGTGGTGGAGGCAGGAACCATACATAGTTTTAAGGCGAGGTATGATAGAGCTCATGGGGCAGGGAGAGAGAGGACCTAGTAGCAATCAGCGAAGAGGCGGGGCCAGGAGCTGTGACTCGACCCCTGCAACCACAAATAGGTGAGTACACACACACACACACACACACACACACACATATATATATATATATATATATATATATATATATATATATATATATATATATATATATATATATATATATATATTATATATATATATATATATATATATATATATATATATAATGTAGGGAGGTACCACCTCTAGAACTTTGCAATAAACGTACCTCAGGAAAAACCCAAGGTTCTCCCCGGAGCTGTTTGAATATTTTCTTCTCCTACCATCCCCTATAATTTTATGCTACATGCAAACTTTATTAATAGACAGAATACATTGATAGAAAACACAAACATGAATTCATTGGTGCAATATATCAAAGGTTATGAATCTCCTCCAGCTCCTCCGAAGCAGGACGCGAGCTCTGTATGCAGCAAGCATTTCCCCTCTGGATGGCCACGCTGAGGCATTGGAATATGAAAGTGGCTGCCCTTGGGTCCCTGGTGGTGTCGATGAGTCTGGAACTCAGTTCTTTAAGGAAACGTGTGGCATGTTTCCCCCATGATCCCAAGGTCTCTGATCCCAGTGGGACAAATTGATACTGTTGTCTTATGTCCCTGTACTTTCTGATCTTGTATTCCTCCCTGTGGTCAGCAGCTCCTCCCTGTCGCCCCACACTGTGATGGATATAGGTGTCAGCCAGTGTGGACACACAGATATAGTCACATGCTAAGAGCTTGCCATTCTTCCAAGGATAGATGGTGATCCCATCGGGGTGGTTTGCTGGGTTGTGGGTATTGTTGACTGCTAGTGATCGGGGCTCTCTCTCGGCTGGGCATCCAGCTGTAGCAAGGGTTCTCTTTATGATGTCGTTGACCTCATTGTGTCATGCATACCAGCCCTTGGTTTTGGAACAGTTAAGACCATGTAGACCATATTGGTCGGCTTGCGCTTCGCCGCAATTACACGTATATTACATGTGAATTGGGGCAGCAAGGCGCAGAGCCACTGCAATACGGAGAGTCTTAGGGTCGGGGCGAGTTCCCATTGCCTATATGGGAACTGTTTGGAGGAAGTCCCCCGAGTGAGGTGCGTTCACAACCTGGAGACGGGCAGTCCCCCTGTCTGATGTTACAGCCCTGAGCATGTTGGTAAGCACGTTTTCAGCGATCGGGCCATCCCAGCTTGACTGTGAGCCAGTGTTGCACTAGGCGAAATTATTGCATACACAAATTTTCATTTGTCCTATATGGCAACATGAACGTTGCTATTTAAGCCAAGATCGCAAGTTCTGCCTATTCGGCACGACATATATATATATATATATATATATATATATATATATATATATATATATATATATATATATATATATATATATATATATATATATATATTTTTTTTTCAACAAGTCGGCCGTCTCCCACCGAGGCAGGGTGACCCAAAAAAAAGAAAGAAAATCCCCAAAAAGAAAATACTTTCATCATCATTCAACACTTTCACCACACTCGCACATTATCACTGTTTTTGCAGAGGTGCTCAGAATACAACAGTCTAGAAGCATACACATATAAAGATACACAACATATCCCTCCAAACTGCCAATATCCCAAACCCCTCCTTTAAAGTGCAGGCATTCTACTTCCCATTTCCAGGACTCAAGTCCGACTATATGAAAATAACCGGTTTCCCTGAATCCCATCACTAAATATTACCCTGCTCACACTCCAACAGATTGTCAGGTCCCAAGTACCATTCGTCTCCATTCACTCCTATCTAACACGCTCACGCACGCTTGCTGGAAGTCCAAGCCCCTTGCCCACAAAACCTCCTTTACCCCCTCTCTCCAACCCTTTCGAGGACGACCCCTACCCCGCCTTCCTTCCCCTATAGATTTATATGCTTTCCATGTCATTCTACTTTGATCCATTCTCTCTAAATGACCAAACCACCTCAACAACCCCTCTTCTGCCCTCTGACTAATACTTTTATTAACTCCACACCTTCTCCTAATTTCCACACTCCGAATTTTCTGCATAATATTTACACCACACATTGCCCTTAGA